AGGGCCATCATCCCTGTCAAATAATACCATGCGGGACACATTCGTTTTTTCTTCGCGCGCGCACGCCGAAATCTCCAAAAACCATTGGGTTCTGTGGGTGTGTACCCCACGCCAGTGTAGTAGCCACGGTCGTCCGCACGCCACGAAGTGAAGTGTCCCAACGTCATAGGGCGGGAAGCTGGGTTTGGGTGGTCGCGAAGAGTCGTTTGGATATTTGGTAGAGCTTGTAATGCCCCCCCACGAAGTGGGGGTATTGCCTGGTGTCGTATGAAAACCCTGGCACTGGGGAGAACACCACGCGTTCGGGTAAAATGATTGTTGTTGTTGTTGTTGTAAACCGGGGGCCAACGACACAGTTTCCTTCAAACTTTTCCCTGAAAAAAACAGGGTGCGACCCCCAGGACGGGCACTTCAATCGAAAAAACAATGTGCACAGGAAGGGGGGGATCAACAATAATTATTCCCAACCATCCTGTGGTGTTGGGTCCTCGTTTTGAAGAGACCGCGCCCCGCGTCCCACCTCCTTCCTCCTTCCTTCTCTTCCTCCCCCATCCTCCCCCTCCTGGGGAAAGTGTCCTCCCCCGTCCCACCTCCTTCCTCCTCCTCCTCCTCCTCCTCCTCCTCCTCCTCCTCCTTCCTCCTCCCCCATCTTTGTGGGAAAACATTGTCTGGGGACTATTTGCGGCGTGTTTTCGACAATTTGGGGGTATGTTTGCGGTCTTTCGTATTTTTCGTCCAGAATCCCCCTGTAAGGGGACATGCCCGACTTAACACCCGAGGCTTCTGCGCAGGAGCCCTCTCCCCTCCCCCAGACCCTCTCGAGTCATGACTCGAAGCAGAAAAGCGCCATAAACATAAACTTGTGGCGCTCCGCGCGAATTTTTCTCTGATCCGCGCTGGGGCCCACCGGCGGCGCCAGCGCACAGCCAAGAGATCCGCGCGGGGGGCCAAAAGTTTATGTCCATGGCGTTCTTGTTTCTTCTTCTTTTTCCATGACACGATCACGACGGGAGGTGCTTCGCTGTCGTCGGCCTCGGGGAGCCCTCGCCGGGCCTCGGGGCCGCCATGAGGCCACCCAGGATGCAAAGGAACGGGCCCACGGGAATGGGTCGAGACCCCTGGGGGTCGACGTCATGAACAGATCATGGCGTCGGGGGTCTGGTCGGAGGGAGGAGAAGCGATACCAACACCGCCAGGGGGCCCACCTCCAGCGAGGAGGCCCACGATGCCTCCCCGAGCGGGAGGCTGGGGACGTCTCGAGCGAGAGGGGGTGACCACACCACCAGGGAGACCCCCCTTTGCCTCCGCGCAGCTCCTCGCCCCGTTGGCGTTGGTGTCGCCTCTCCTTGCTCCCATCTGGGGCCGCCGGGCGGCGCGCCACGAGGGGGAAGAGTGCGCGGGGGGGGGGGGGAGGGGGCGGCCCTCCTCGGGAGGGCGGCGGGGCTCCTCCGAGGCCGCCCGGCGGCCTTCTCGGCGCAGCCGCCCCCGTCTTCGAGGGGAAGTCCCCGAGGGCCCGACGACGTTCCACCCCTCGACCTGTGGGGATCGAGCCAGAGAAGCCCAGGCAGGTGCAGGTAAATCGAGGCACAAAGCTGTGCAAATCCAGACACACCTGTGCAGATCCAGGTAAGTCCAGAGATTTCCAGGGCAGAGGATGCTGGAGCACATCGCGGCCGCTCCAGCGCGAGTCGAGGGACGCCATGAGTCGTCGAGCCCTCAGCGAGGGAGGCGTATGTAGAGAGCCTCTCCGACGGCCGGAGTTCGTCCGATCCGACGCCTTCCGATGGGGGCCCCCTCCTCTGCTCTCCCAGTTGGAGCGCGCAGCCGATGCGCATCACCTTACAGTGGGGGCCCATGCTAAAGGACAATTCTTCCTCCTCTTCTTCTTATTGTTATTATTATTCCTCTTCTTCTTTGTCTTCCTCCTCCTCCTCCTCCGCCTCCTCCCCCTCCCTCTCCCCGTCCTCCTCCTCCTCCTCCTCCTCCTCCTCCTCCTCCTCCTCCTCCTCCTCCTCCCTCCTCCTCCTCCTCCTCCTCCTCCTCCTCCTCCTGCTTGCCTCCAGGGTTCCCTGGGTTTCTTGGGCTTCGATGGCCTTGCCACAGAGGGCGTGATGCTCCCACACCAGACATCCATGGGCGTCTTGGGGTCTCTCCAGGCTTGGGCCTCCTGTGGGAGGCCTCTTGTGATCGGGCCCCTGCTGTATACCACCCTCGTCCTGCCACCGCCAGGGCGCTGCGATGAGGGCTCGCTCGGGCTCGGGGAGGGCCCGCCGCGGCTCCTTCCCGTGGCGCTTCCCGTCTGCTGTCCCCGTTGGAGGAGGCGGAGGAGGAGGAGGAGGAGGAGGAGGAGGAGGAGGAGGAGAACGGAGGAGGAGGAGAACGGAGGAGGAGGAGAACGGAGGAGGAGGGGAGGAGGAGGATTCGGAGGAGAACGGAGGAGGAGAAGAACGGGAGGAGGAGGAGGAGGAGGAGGAGGAGGAGGCGGAGGCAGAGCGGAGGCGGAGGAAGGAGGAGGAGGAGGAGGAGGAGGAGGAGGAGGAGGAGGAGGAGGCGGAGGCGGAGGCGGAGGAGGAGGAGGAGGAGGAGAGGAGGAGGAGGAGGAGGGAGGAGGAGGAGGAGGAGGAGGAGGAGGAGGAGGAGGAGGAGGAGGAGAGGGGCGGGGGGAGCGAGGGGCTCCGGCCTGACCGCTCCCCGTTGGAGCGCGCAGCCGATCCGCTGCACCTGACCATCCGCGCCCTGCCACCGCCGGGGCGCTGCGAGAAGGGCACGCCCAGGTTGGGAGGGGGGGCCCCGCCGCGGCTCCTCCCCGTGGCGCTGCCCGTGCTCCTGGGGCGCTCCTCGGGCCCACGAGCGGGGCCTCGTTCGGCACCTGGGCGCTCCTTTCGGCAGTAACGCTTGACTGCGCCCCTCCTCCTCCTCCTCCTCCTCCTGTTCCTCCTCCTCCTCCTCCTCCTCCTCCTCCTCCTCCACTCTATCGTCATCATCATCACCATCATGATCATCAGCATCATCATCGTCGTCATCATCGTCATCGTCATCGTCATCGTCGTCATCATCATCATCATCATCATCATCATCATCGTCATCATCATCGTCATCATCATCATCAACATCATCATCATCGTCATCACCATCAGCATCAGCATCGTCGTCGTCGGCATCGTCATCATCATCAGCAGCAGCATCATCAGCAGCATCATCAGCATCACCATCAGCATCATTACCAGCAGAAGTACATATCAGCATACGCACCACCATCGTCATCGTCATCATCCTCATCGTCATCATCATCCTCATTATCATCCTCATCCTCATCATCCTCATCATCAGCATCCTCCTCATCATCATCATCACAATCATGATCATTATCATCGACATCATCATCAGCATCATCGTCGTCGTCATCGTCGTCATCATCATCACCAGCACCATCACCATCACCATCACCATCACCACCATCATCATCAGCATCCTCATCAGCCTCCTTCTTTTTCTCCCCATCGTACCCTTGTCGAGAGGGAATGCCGAGCTCGGTGAGGCGCGCCAACGAGCAGCCCGTGCCACGTGCGCCGTGCTGCGAGCGAGCTGCGTGTTCCTGGTGCCTACCGAAGCCGCACGCGGCAGCAGAGACGCGAAAGTTGTGGACTGAGCAGTTGCCCCTCCAGTCAGGTGGACGATGTGACGCCCGTATCGGCTGGGCGCCGTGCCGGGCAGGGTGTCGGCTCTGTTCGGGGTGACGTTCGGTCGTTGGGTGTAGCCGGGACCCTCTGGACCATCGATTGCTCCAAATGCTCCTCCCCCCCCCCGAGACATCGGACGTCAAAATTTGTTCGAGACACGGGCCCACGACCTCCCGGCCACTTCCCCGGGGCTGGTTTTTCGTCCCGAGTCATTTTCTGACGGTCCCGAGGCCAAAGGCGAGGGCCCCGAGAGGCCGAAAGCGAAGAGACATTTCCGTCCCGATGTTTTCGAGACGCCCGATGTCTGGGAATGCTCCTCCTCCCCTGATGGGCTTGTTTTCCACCACCACCACCACTACATGTTTGAGGGGGAGGGGGTCCTCCTCCTCCTCCTCCTGCTTCTCCTCCTCCTCCTCCGCCATCTCGTCCTCCTCCTCCTCCTCCTCCTCCTCCTCATCCTCCTGCACCTTCTCCTCCTCCTCCTCCTCCTCCTCGTCCTCCTCCACCTCGTCCTCCACCTCCTTCCCCCCCTCCCGCTCATGGCGGTGGTGGTGGTGGAAAACAGGCCCATCATTCCCCCCCCCCGCCCGTCCTCCACCCTCGTTCTCCTCCAGCGGCCGCCAGGCGACGGCTTAGAGCAGCGCCCGTCCGAGCGCTGCAGGCGGCCAGGGGCGGAAGATGCGGGCGAGGAGCGGGGGAAGGGGGGAGCGGGAGGAGGAAGAGGAGGAGGAGGAGGAGGAGGAGGAGGAAGAGGGAGGAGGGAGGAGGGAGGAGAGAGGAGGGAGGAGGGAGGAAGGAGGAGGAGGAGGAGGAGGAGGAGGAGGAGGAGGAGGAGGAGGAGGAGTAGGAGAACGGAGGAGAAGGAGTTGGTGGACGAGGAGGAGGACGTGGACAAGGACGAGGAGGGGGTAGAGGGCGGAGGGGGATGGTCGAAGCTTCTGGTTGTTCTCCGTCCTGGTGTGGGAGGGGCAACCAGGGCCGCCTGCGCTTCGATGCGATTTGATTCGCTGGCTGGGCCCGCGATTCCGATTCCGATTCCGTTTGATTCGTTTCAACTCATCAGCATCGCCCGGGTCCAGCTGGAGCCGGGCGCTGCGATTCGAAGTCGGTTCGAGTTGGGGCGATTCGTTTGCGATCCGATCCGTTCCCGATCCGACCCGAGACCCGATTTGGCGATTCGATTTGGTTCAGGCCTGGCAGCCCACGGGACTACCCACACGGCAACCACAGGACAGCCCCGCGGGACAATCCGCGGGACACCTTTGGTCTCTCGGAAGATGTCGTGGTAGCCCTAGGGGAATGCCGGGACTGTCGGCCCCCATGCTGAGACAGCACGCGGGACAAATTCTTGACGGCGGCGGCACACCCGACTGGGCTCGGGAGACGCAGGGGCGCGCCGCAGACCTCGACTTTTCCTGCGATCGCACGGTGTCCATCGGCTCCCTGGCCTGGGTCTGGCCATGTTCCGTCGGGGCTCAAGAGACGGGGGTCACTGCAAGCGGGGGTGAGCCAGGGCGCCGGATCTTGCACCAGCGGAGGAAACGTACCCATACGCCTACCTTTCCCTCATTTTCCCTTTCAGGGGACTCCTGCGAGGCCCTCGTCGCCACCGCTGGATTCGCCTCGAAACCGTGGTCAGAGCGCACCCCAGGAGAAGTCCTTCCTGGGAGTAGCAGTATCGGTACCGCTTGGTTTCCCCACTGCAGGATCCTGCAGGGCAAGGGTCGCACTGACCCGGGTCAGGGCGCAGGATCCCGCAGGATCTTGCAGGATCTTGCAACGCCCGACTGACCCGGGTGTGCACCGACCCGGATCAGCAGATCCCCAACTCCGTGTGTGTGTGTGTTTGTGCAGGATGTCTTGATAATGACGCTTTCCAGGTTTTCCATCCGTTGTCACAACAAACTGGCTGTTCCGTCTTCCCCCCTCTCTCTCATCGTAGGCACCCTTCTGATCCTCAGCTTGCGCTGCAGCAAGGATGTGCGACGTGCTACTTTTTACTACGAGGTGGGAGGTCCATGGCGATGGCTGTTCCAACGGACGATTTGCGCAAGCAGTTGCGTGGAGGTGGCTCGTAAATCATCCGATGAAGCAAATGCTACTACGTGATTGCAGTGGAAATGAGATAACCGCGACGTGGCATGAGACAGTGTGCGATACATACATGCATGTATATGTATAGATGCATGCATGTAGAGAGATGGAGAGGGGGGAAGACAGAGAGAGAGGGGGAGAGAGAGAGAGACAACACGAAACAGCTATATTTATACTGGTATAGATAGCGATACTTCTATATATATATATATAGAGAGAGAGAGAGAGAGAGAGAGAGAGAGAGAGAGAGAGAGAAAAAGACCGAGAGGGCGATCAACAAGGATGGAGGGGTTAAACCCAAGGGGGCCGCGTGCGGCGAAGCGTGCCGATCCTCCTCACGGGGACGTGCAGCAACGAGCAGGCAGGACACCGAGAGGGGCTTCAACGACGGATTCCGGCAGGTGCACGGGCAGATGCGGAGAAGGTCAAAGTTAAAAGCATCTCAAGCCTTGGCCGCCCAGGTACCAGACAGCAAACACAGGTAGATTGCCAGCGCCTTCGCCTCTGGAGGTCCAGCTGGCCTCGTCGCGGTGCCCTTTTCTACAGGCCCTCTCGGTGCCGCGTGACTGCCATTTGGGGGCGCCTTGGGGCCCCCTCCTGGGCCCTTCGGAAGGTCTCTCGGCGAGGCCGCCTGGGGCCCCGTAGGGCCTTTTTGGGGGGGTGTGGCGGTCACCAGCTCGCAGGGACGAGAAGGGGCACCTCCATCAGCCGGCCACCTCCAGCGAGGTTGTCCACGACGCCTCTCCGAGCTGGAGATCGGAGATGCCTCGAGCTAAACTAGAGCACCAGGAGGAACCTCAGCGGCCCCACTGCAATGGTGGTGGTGGTGGTGTCGTCTGCCGCGTGCCCTCATCCTGGCTGATCGTGGGTCATCCCGGGGTGGTCGTGGGACATCTGGGAGCCACTTTTTGGGGCCATTTTGGGAGTGACCTTTCGGAACCCCCACCCAACATCAAAACCTAACAGACTTTGTCGGTGTTTACCTTTTCACCCGCCGGGGGTTTAGTATTTTTCCAGCGCTGAGGAAGAAGAATCCGCTCAGTGTCTTCCCCAGCGCAGTTTAATGCAGTTTAATCACCTCAGGCATACGCCTTTAGAGGAAGCTCGCACGCAGCCCGTAACATTTGCATCTTGTTTGTGTTTGTCTGGGGGGGGGGGGAACACCCGCCGGGGGCTTTGTCCAGAGCCACCTTGGGGCCTCTTGGGGACACCCTGGCACCCCCAGTGGGGTTTCCGTCGCCATCCCTGAGGGGTACCATGGGGTGCCCACGCAGGCATCTCGAGTAGTCTTGGCGGCTTCTGGGCTCTTCCGCCCCTGCCCTCCCCCCCCCCCCACACACACACACACACCCTCCCCCCGCCTCCCCCTCCCCCTTCTCCCCTCCCTCCCCTCCCCCCCCCCCCCCCTCCACAATTACTCAATATGAAAAATACTCTCCCTCTTCCCCTGATGGCGTCCGGGTGATGGCCGCGCACCCTCCGCGTACTTTTTTTACACACAGGATGCCCGGGAAATCCCGGGAAACGACTCTCGCTGAGGCGCCGGCGTCATTTTTTCCCAAAATGCTGCTCTCGTTGAGGCGCCGGCCTCATTTCTGCTCCCGAATCGTTCCGAATCGTGCTCCCGCTGCAGCGTGGGCCTCATTTTCGGATCGGTGTTTGGCCTCCGTCGTTCAGGATTGCGTTCTCGCCCCAGCGCGGGCCTTTTTCTCGCGCGCCCATCCGCCCGCCACCACCGCGCCGCACCGCCACCACCACCACCACCACCACCACCACCACCACCACCACCACCACCACCAGCACCAGCACCACCACCACCAGTACCCACCACCACCACCACCACACAGCACCACCACCCACCACCACCACCACCACTACCACCACCACCACCACCCACCACACTACCACCACCACCACCACCACCACCACCACCACCACCACCACCACCACCACCACCACACAACCACGCACACACGCACGCACGCACGTGCACCACCACCCACTACGCACGCGCGCGCGGAGCCACAGGTCCGCTACGACACGCGTCCGCGGATAGAGAAAATCAGCGCCATGGTAAGGGATGGGAGGGAGGGGTAGGACGTCAGATATGACGCGAGCGCACCTAGCTTGCCCCCCCCCCTCCCCCCCTCCCCTTGCTACCTCCCCTCCCCCCTCCCCCCTCCTCCTGCCCCTTCCCCCTCTTCCACCTGGATGCTTCTCTCCTGTTTCTCGTGCTTGAGTTGCCCGCTAACCCCCGTAGGTTCTTGTCAGTCACAGGATTGTGCAGAGGTGATGTTTGATGTTTGTTCTCAGGAAACTGTTTGATTTTTCGATCTCAAGACGTGGCTGCAGCGGCGTAGGCCACGTTCAAGGACATATATATATATATATATATGTGTAGAGCTTCTGTCCGACGGAACGTCGTTCTGGCCGTACCTATGTCTGCATTCCTGTCTCATCACATGTGGTGCTCGCGCTGAAGCGCTCGCCATGTTTTAGAGTATCCGATGTGTGTTCCGCCCAATGGAGCGACGCTCTCGCCGCAGCCTTGGCCGCCCCCCTGCACCAGCAGACACGTGGCTCCCATGGCAGCGCCTGCTGAGCGTAGGTAGCCCCGCAGAGCCTCCGCCCCACGTGACGGCGTTCTCGTCTCCGCGCGGACCACTGCATCATCAAAAACGTTGGGCTGCGATCCCGCTTTTGCGTTTGCCGCGCTTCTTGTCTTAGGATTCCCATCGAGCTTCGATCCAACGGGACGCGCTCCCACCGCGGCGCTGGCTGTGCAGGAGCAGGCGTGGCGTTTCCGCTGCAGCGCGTCTGCCATATGCAATGTTTGCCGTCGAGCTTCCGTCGCAGGGAACGACGCTCTCTCCGCAGCGTTGGCCGAATTCGCGTCGGCACGTACTTTCTGTCTTCTTGGCGTGGCCCTCCCTCGCGGATCCCCTCCGCCTTATTCGTGCCCCCCCATCTTTTGATTTCCAGGGCCCTCTTCGACAATGCTACCCCCTCGAGGTGCACATGCCTTCTTCGACACTAGACATGCCGGACACTCACACATCCGACTGTCTGTTTTTTTTCCAATGCGCAGCTCCAGAGGTTCCAGCCCCTCTCCCCGAGGCAAGGTCATTGGTTAGGAAATGTGCCTTGGAGGCCTCAGACCCTGGATGGCTCCTTATCAGGTGAGGGCGGCTGTGGCATCTATGGCCCTGCTTCAAGTGGTGCCCACCAGGTTTTCAGACCCCCCCGATGCCCTCTCCCACGGTTCCTTATCCAATACCCTTCCCGTCGCTGTTCGCCCTTGATCCTCACAGCGTCTCACCGAGCGCGCTCCACTACTCGCAGAGTGCCTACTCGCAAACGTCCGGAAAAAAAAACACACAGGCCCACTTTGGATGTCATCCAATGTGGATCCTCCGCGGGGGAGCCGGGCCATTGGCGAGCAGCTGCGTTGCGAGCAGTGAAACGCGCTCGTCTCGCGTCGGCCATCTGGATGTGGGGGAGGGAGGGAGGGAGGGAGGGAGGGAGGGAGGGAGGGAAGGAGGAAGGGAGGGAGGGAGGGAGGGAGGGAGGGAGGCACCAGCCTTGTCCCCCCCTCCTCCCCTCCGCAACCGCGCAAGCCCCCCGCCCCTCGGACGCGGCAGGCGGCTGCCGGTCTCCGAGGCCGTGGCCCCGCTGCTGGAGGACTACGAGGTCCCCGGGTACATCATCAACCCGGACGAGTCCCGATTTCTCCTCAGGCCCGAGGCGGAGGAGGAGCAAGGCTCGAGGAGGAGGAGGAGGAGGAGGAGGAGGAGGAGGAGGAGGAGGAGCAGAAGGAGGAGGGGGGGAGGAGGAGGAAGCGTTGGAAGCGTCGGTCCTTGGGAGCGTGCTGGGCTCGTCGGGGTTCTCAGGGCCCCCTGCCCGGAGGCCTCTGGAGGTCCCAGGGTGGAGTGTACAGTCAACGCGCCTAGTAAGGACGCGCGCCTTCATCTATCACCACCCACCAAACCACCCCAACCCAACCCGAAGGCCCAAATTTATCCTCGATTTCCAGTGGGGGGGGGTCGGGGAACGTTGAAAAAACACATGGAGCCCGTACCCCCCCCAACCCCAAATTCGGGTCAAATTCGGGTCTTCGGGTTGGGTTGGGGTGGTCTGGTAGGTAGTCAGTAAGGACGCGCGCCTTCATCTAGGGTACCCTTGTGTCCTTGCCTCTGAGGCTCGTCCTTGCCATTATCACTGGTCGCCCGCCGCCCTGAAAAGCCCAACTTCGGCCTCCAAGGGTCTTGCGTCCTTATCGCCCGTCCTTAATATACGTTTTGACAGGAGCAGGCAGGGTCGCAGGGTATCTTCTTCTCCCGAGGAGGGCTTCGCGCACGGGGCTGCCGCTGCTGGCCTGTGAGCAGCGGGCGTGTTGGCGCGCCCTGCGCCGACCAGGGTTGCGTTCGGGGGGTCCCTGGCTCTGTCTCTTCACTGTGGCGCTCCTCGGGGTTGGTTGGCGTTGCTCGGGGTTGTTGGTGCTTGCTTTTTTTTGCACTGGCGTTGCTCGGTGTGTCTTGGTCCCGTTTTTCTGGTGCTGGCCTTTACCGGAGTTGTTATAAGGCTTGTTTATTTGCAGTGGCCGTCTCCGGGGTTGTTTGGACTTGCTTCTTGATGGTGGCGTTGCCCGGAGTTGCTTGGACTCGTTCCCGTACTGCATTCCCCCAGTTGTTTAGTCTTGTTGCACTGATTTGTTTGGCCTTGTTTCCAAGCAACTCCTCGCAAAGAAAGGCAACGCCAATAAACGCGAAGCAACGCCAGTGAACGCCAGGCACGGCCAAGAAACGCGAAGCAACGTAAAGCAACGACACGCAATGCCAAGTAACGACAAGCAATGCAGAGCAGCGCCAAGCAACGCACGCCAAGCAATGTGCCCATGCAATAGGCATGTTTCCCTTACTGGGGTCGCACGGGGTTCATTTTTTCGGTGTGCCAGCTTCTGTTACGGGGGTTCCCCCCTTCCCCCGTGCAAAGGTACCGAGTTTACGACGGGGGGTTGGGCTGATCGTCGTCGTCGCCATCGCCGCTAGTCGTCGTCGTCGTCGTCGTCGTCGCCGCCGCTGGACGTCGTCGTTGTCGTCGTTGTTGCCGCCAGTCGTCGTCGTCGTCGTCGTCGTCGTCGTCGTCGTCGTCGTCGTCGTCGTCGTCGTCGTCGTCGTGAGCGAGGCGCTCATGTTCGCCCCCAAGTGGGGCCAGATGTTGAGGATGTCTCGATCGGTTTGCCTGTTTTGTTGGCCTGGCTCGTGGGCACGGATCCTCCCCAGGATTCCCCAGGAGGCTCCAGAAGAGGCTACAAGATGCCCCCAGAGGCTCCAGGAGCCCCCAGGAAGCTCCAGGAGGTCACAGGAAGCCACAGGAGGCCCCAGGCAGGAGGCCACAGGAAGCGCCAGGAGGCACCAGGAGGCCCCAGAAGGCACTAGGAGGCCCAACGAGGTCCCAAGAGGCCCCAGGAGCAGGAGACCTCAGAAGGCCACAGGAGTGGCTCCAATCCCATGTGGTGTACGTATGCTCCTACAGATTGTGCCCCCCCCCCCCCCCCTGGGACACGAATCTTTCGTGCTTGACATATGTTTATATCGATTGTCCTTCTCCTGCGTATCCACGCCTTAGTGCTTTACATATGTTCCTATAGTTTGGGCCTCCCCTGGGGGACGAGTCCTTGGTGTTTTACGCGTGCTCCTATATGTTGCCCTCCTCCTGCGGCTCCAATCCGCAGGGTTTTATGTACACTGTTCCCATCGATTGGGCCTCTCCTGGGGCACAAATCCTCCCCAGGATGCCCCAGGAGACTCCAGGAAGCCCCAAGAGGCCACACGAGGCCCTAGGAGGTATCAGGAAGCGCCAGGAGGTTTCAGGAGACCCCAGGCAGGCGGCCACAGGAAGCGCAAGGAGGGCCCAGGAGGCCCCACAAGGCACTAGGAGGCCCAAAGAGGCCCCAAGAGGCCGCAGGAGCAGGAAGCCTCAGAAGGCCACAGGAGTGGCTCCAATCTCATGTGGTGTACGTATGCTCTTATATATTGTGCCTCCCTTCGGGGACGAATCCTTTGTGGTTTTACATATGTTTATATCGATTGTCCTTCTCCTGTGCATCCATTCCTATGTTTTTTACATACGTTCCCATAGATTGGGCCTACCCTGGGGCACGAGTCCTTGGTGTTTTACGCGTGCTCCTATGGATTGCCCGCCTCCTGCGGCTCCAATCCGCAGGATTTTATGTACGTCCGTTCCGATACACGTTGGGCCTCTCCTGGGGCACGAATCCTCCCCAGGATGCCCCAGGAGGCTCCGGAAAGCCCCAAGAGGCCACACGAGGCCCCAGGAGGCCTCAGGAAGCCCCAGGAGGCCCCAGGCTCATGCGCAGAGACGCATTGATACTACGGATATGGATTCACAGTCCAACTCATTCACAGTTAGATTCACCCCCAGACCGTAAATACCCAAGCCAGCCAATATTCGAAAAACTCTGGCGCCTACGCGCTCACGGTAATACGTGCACATTTGGGGAGCCCCACGCAGTGAATAATTACTCCGACCGCGCCGAGACACACCTCCTCCCACCTTCCTCCTCATGTTATGCTGTGCGATGCCACGACACGCTGGCTTGTGGTAGGTATGTACTTTCTTGACATGGCATGTTATAACATAGTGTGGCATGGTATGGTATGTAATGGTAGGGAAGGATATAGTATGTAATGCTATCCCATGAATTGATATGATATATCGTGCGTTGTTATGATCTGCTACATCTTGCTAGGTTATGATGGTGATGGTGGTGATGCTGATGATGATGCTGATGATACTGATGAGGATGCGAGGTGCGGGTTTCAGCAGCCCCAAGGGGGAGCTGCCAAGGAGTATTGCACTCCTCCGTTCGCGCCAAAGTGGCGGGGATGTCTCGAGCGGCTTGCCTGTTTCCGGCCGCAACATCCTCCGCTTTCAGATCAGATTCTGAGGATGTCTCGGGCGAGGCGCTGGTTTTCGAAGCGCTTGGGGGCACATATTGCGAGGCTGTCTCGGGCGGTTTGCTAGTGTTGCTGGCCAGAGTCGTCAGCGTTCAAAGCAGATTCTGAAGATGCCTCTGGCGAGGCGCTGGCTTCGACACCCCAAGGGGACCCAGACTGTGAGGATGTCCCAGACTCACGTATGCTCAACCTCAGTCGTATCCAGACTCACTCATACCCCGTATCCTCACTCACACTCAGGCTTACACACACTCATAATCATTCACATTCAGACCCACCCATCCACTCGTAGTCAGACTCACTCGTACTCAAACCCATTCAGACTTCAGACTCGTACTCATTAGATTCACACTCAGACCCACTCACACCCAGACTTACCCACACTCAGACCACTCTCACTCAGACTCACTTATACCCTGACTTACGCATTCTCAGTCCCATTCGTACTCAGACTCTACACTAACTGACACTCGCACCCAACCATACGAAATCCCGTTCATACAGCAAGCTTGTTACTATTCGACAATTGTTGCGCCTGGACACTCACGGCGGACGCGTTCATGCAAATATTTGCACGTATCGGGAGCTCCACGGAGTGAGTAATGATTACTCCGACCGCGCCGACTTCTTCCACTCACCTCTTTCCTCCTCACATTCCTTCTCATGTTATGGTATGTTATGTTGTGGCATAGTGTGGTTTGATATGTTACGGTATGGTATGACATGGTAGGTTCTGGGATGTTATGTTCGTACATGTAACGTGATGTTGATCCATGTTGTGCGATCAAATGGTTTTTATGATGATGATGATGACGATGATGATGATGATGATGATGATGATGATGATGATGGTGATGATGATGATGATGATGAAGGGGAGATGGTAATGCCGATGATGATGATGATCAGGATGATGATGCTGAAACTGATGCTGTTCATGATGATTATGATGATGATGATGATGATGATGATGCTGATGATGATGATGATGATGATGATCATGCTGATGATGATGATGATGATGATGATGAGGACGATGATGATGATGATGATGATGATGCTGATGATGATGATGATGATGATGATGATGATGATGATGATGCAGCTGGCTGAACAGATTCTGAGGATGTCTCGAGCGAGGCGCGGGCTTCAGCAGCACCAAGGGGGGCATTGCACTCTTCCGTTCGCGCCAAAATGGTGGGGACGTCTCGAGTGTTCTGCCTGTTTGCTGCCGCGACATTCTCCGCTTTCGGAGCAGATCTTGAGGATGTCTCGAGCGAAGCGCTGGTGTTCGCCCCAAGGGGGGCGAAGCCAGGGGGTATTGCATTCTTCCGTTCGCGCCAAGATCGCGGGGATGTCTCGAGTGATTTGCTTGGTTGTTGCCGCATCATCCTCCGCATTCGGAGCAGATTCTGAGGATGTTTCGGGCGAGGCGCTGGTGTTCGCAGCGCTGGGGGCACATTTTGTGGGGATGTGTTGTGCGGTTTGCTTGTTTTGTTGGCCAGACTCGTCTGCGTTCAAAGCAGAACAGATTCTGAGGATGCCTCTGGCGAGGCGCTGGTTTTGACACCCCCATGGGGGCTCAGTTTGTGAGGATGTCCCAGACTTGCGTATGCTCAACCGCAGCCGTGCTTAGACTCACACATACCCCCCCTCGTACTCATCCTGTTCATACTCACTCACGCTCAGATTTGCGCACACGCATACCCACTCGCACTTAGACCCACCCACCCTCAGACCCACTCGTAGCCAGACTC